CTCTTCTGGATTTTACAGTTTGAATTGAAAAGTCAGCTGTAATTCTGATGGGTTTTCCCTTATATGTATCTCATTGTTTTTCTCTAGAAGCTTTCAGCACCCTCTCTTTGTTCTGTTCATTTAATGTCTTTACTATGATATGCCATGGGAAGTTTCTGTTCTGGTCATGTCTAATTGGGGTTCTCTGTGCTTCTTGAATTTCTATAGGTAAATCTTTCCTTAATTTAATTAATCAATAATCTTGTTGAAGATCTGTTCAATGCCATTGGCCTGAGATTCTTCTTCCTGTATGCCTATGATTCATAGATTTGGCCTTTTCATGTTGTCTCACATTTTCTGTGTATTCCACTGCTGTTTCCTTTTTTAACTTTTATATGGTCTTTGATTAAGGAGTACAGATCTTCAACTTTGTCCTCCAGTCTTGATAGTCTTTTCCATTTCATTCCTTCTGCTTGTGAGGCTTTCTCTTGTTATTTCCAATTGACTTACTGAGCTTTTCAATTCCATGTTCATTTCTGTTTGGATTTCCTTCAGTAATTTTCTTTTTGAATTCAGTTTTCAAGTCATGAATTTTTTTTTATATTTCATTATGCCACATATTTGTGTATTCTTGAGCTTCCATCACCAGTTTCTGTCTTTCCGCTTTGAGTTCTTTCAGTTGTTTTTTGTTTTCTTTGAATTTTTTGATCATGTTTATGATTGCTCTTTTAAATTCTGAATCCTGGGGTTCCTAAAATGGTTCTCATGGTAGTACACTTCTATAGAACTAGTGGGTTTTGATACATTCTCTTAGTTTTTCATAGTATTGTGTTTTTGTGCTTCCATTTAGGCATATGGATGGCCTTTGTTGGTTATGTGTCTGGCACGAACATCTATCCTGCATTTGTTTAATTGAATTTTGGTTCTTTTTATATTGTTTATGTAGCTTGGTTGCTTTTTGTTCTGGTATGAAAAATAAATTGGTGTGTGTTTCAGGTTCTTGCATGGTAGTAGGCTGGTCTGTGTAGTTGATGGGACAGGGTAGTAGGTAGGCTGGTCTGTGTCAGACAGATTCGGAGACAATGGAATCTACGCTACAGAGTTTAGCTACTATGGGTTAGGAAGCTAGTCCGGAGATCTGAGTCAGAGGAACTGGAACGAACCAGCTAGGTCTAGGCTAGCAGGCCACAGGGGTGGGGTGAAATAGAGGAGTGGAATGGAGACTTGGTTGGCAGCATCTGACTTACCAGGGTCCTGATGTGCTGGTCTGTCAGGCAGATCAGGAGCAGGGGTTGCGGGGAGTTGGATGGGGGTGGGACCACCTGAGGAGGGATTTAACAATATATGCTATGGGGTTTAGGAAGTCTAGATTAGGAAGCTAATCCAAAGATCTGAGGCAAAGGAATTGGATTTAGTTGGCCTGGGTCCAAGACTAGCAGGTGACAGGGTTGAGGTGGGGTAGAGGAATGGAATCTTATTTGTTATTTTTATTTGTATGTATGAATATATTGCCTGTATATGTCTAAGTGCACCCATGTCACACAGTGCCTGTAGAGGTCAGAAGAGGGCATCAGATTCCTTGGAATTGGAGTTACAGATGGCTGTTAGTCACCATGTGAGTGCTGGGAATCAAACCCAGGTCCTCTGCAAGAGCAGCTAGTGCTCTTAAAGGCTGAGCCATCTCTCCAACCTCAACATCTTGGAATTTTTAACCATGATTCTAATATTTGCTTACTGTACGAATTTATCATGAGCCAACATTTTTCTTTATATTCTTTGGGCTCCATTTTTATACTATGAAACCAATCAACTCTATTGAGTAATGTCTGGTAAGCTTAGAAAAGTAATATAAAATTAATGCTGGATGATTACCTTTAAGGCTTAAAAACTAGATCATTAATTTTAAAAAACAGTGTCTACAATGGGAAAAATTACTTAGCTTACTCTATTGTAATTTATTTGCTTTTAGACTAAGAAAACAGTTTTTAAATTTTTAAATATTTTTAATGGTCAAAAATGTCATATGATACATTTTGATCATATTTAAACTCTCTCCCACCTTCCTACTGTTTATTGAATCTGAGTATATGCAGAAAAATCTTAAAATCAAAAGAATACAATTTAATAAATTTTCACCAGGTATACCATTGATATAAACCAACACTCGGTCACCATTAATAAAAATCAACACTCAGTTAAGAGCAGCCTCCTAGTTTTTCCTAATATCCTTTGCTATCTTTTTTCTACCCCTTTTATCTACTTCTTGACTTCTAAAACTGTTGATTAGTTTTGCCTTTTGAACTTACATAAATTTTTTTAAATGTGATATGTGGGTTTGGTTTGGTTTTTTGTTTTTTGTTTTTGTATTGCAGTTTTCTCTCCATGTTAGCTGGGGAAATTTGCCCATAATTTTCCTTACACCTGTGTTTCAGTGTGTGGTCACATGGACACCTTTGCACATTGCATGAGTGAGCCAGAGATAATCATTCCTTCTAGAGGACACGTGGGTTTTCAGTTGGGAACTCATTGTCAGTGTTCCCTGTGACTGTTCCTACATGTTTTGGTGTACAGGTTTATGCTTCCCACATGGGCTCATAACGGGATAGAAGTGCTTTATGCATGTTGTAGGTACTGTCAATTCTTTTGTATGTCGCCGGAACCAATAATCATTCCCACTAGTACAGAATGAGAATGTACACTAATGTTTACTGTCAGTCAGGGGAGGTGTTCATTTGAATTTTGCTGGTTACTAATGAAGTCTGTTAATTTCTGTATCTTTCAAATTTAATCTAAGACATTTTAATTTAAACACCACATTGCTTATAGTTAACATATTGTAGATTCAACTTTGTGCTTTAGCATTCTAACAGAAAGTGTAAGCAATCCTGGGCAAATAGGCATTCATCAATCTTCAGAATGTTAATCCACCGATCTCCACTTGCTTCTCGGGTCATCTCTGAGTTTTGATAATCAGAATAAAGTGATTCAAATTTGTGACTTAAAGATCACATTTTCATTAGGGCCATATATATAACATGAAAGAAAAAGCAAAACTAAAGGAATGAAAAAGACTAACAGGTGCAGAGGTGTGGGGAGGAGCATAATCAAAGTTCATATGTTTGTACAAAAGTGTTTGTGAATTCCAGTACCACATACAGTGACTGTATGCCGATATAGATAAAATATACCAAAATTAAAAATAAAAAGAATGAGCTTTTTAGCTAAATCAGTGCTGCTTATTATCATTCCTTTGCCAACCAATAAAAATTCTCCATAATTTATTTCATTTGTTCCTTACTTTCCAAATTCTGTTTCCTCACTGTGCACCATGGGAATACTAGAGGCTTTGTTTCATATCTATGAATTATAAGAATGGACATCAGAAAAAGACACAGACATTTGCAGCATACAAGTCCCTGGGTGGTTCTGGTGAAGCAGCCACCACAGAAGCCTTCAATAGTGATGTAACAGGATGATCTTGCAAAGATGCTTAGGAGACAGCAGAATCAAAACCAAAAGATGAAACATTAAAGTAATTACAGAAAATACTAAAAGAGTTCTATGTCAATAAGAAGTGTCTAAAAACCTACCTAATTCAGGTTGCTCTTCAGAAATTTCTACACTGAATGAGGAATGTACAGGATGATGATAAAAGCACCAGGTGCTACTAGCCCCCTCTCTTTAAGTAAAAATTGACTGGGAGCTGTACTTACTGTGTTTGACAAAGCAGAACAACTACAAACCCCAACCACACAGAGAGATATCAACGCTGAGTTAATATTCAGAGCTCTGGGCCTCTAAACTTTTGAAAATTCTTCTCTTCTTACATTTAGTTCAAACCCATATTAATAAGCTTAAATAATGCATCTAAATGAGAATGATTAGCATAATGCAACAGCAAGAGTAAGTATACTTCAAATAAATTTTCATAAACATGAGGCAAGCCTGTCAATAGATCCACTTTCTATCTGATTTAATAAAGAACTAGACAAGCATACAAACATGAGAATTATAACTGATGTTTTAATTTTCCTCACCCACCACAATTGTCACACAGTGGGTTACAGTTTGTAAACTGTGATTGTTATCTCAGCTAATTTCATTTTACTTTATTTCACAGTTAACTATCTAAAAGGACATTGCTGCTCCTGAATACAAAGTCCGAGGTCAATTTAAATGATTATTTTGTTTAGAATGTATTTGTATTAAACTTAAATATTCTTAATTTAGCAAATTATGATATATTCCTATATAAACACATACACAGAACTGTCTACTTTTAAAGATACTGAACCATAAAAATTCTAAAATATTAGTGATGAATTTTATTGAATGTCCATTGTTGAATTATGGATATTAAAAATATACAGAAACATTGGGGGGATATTTCTTTGTCACTGAGAAAATTGTCTGTAATGCTTAAAAAGAAAGATCTTTCGAAACATGAGTTTAGCCTATGGGGAAGCTTTCCTCTAGAGGATGGGTTTAGCATACAAGTTGGAGAATGGAAAAAGCTCAGCTTGCTCCTCTCTCTTCAATACCCATGATACATCAGCCATTTTCCAAGTCGGCTTTCCTTTTGGAGTTTTGTCTACTCACCACACATTTTACTCCTCTGAGAATGCAGAGAGGTCTGTGAAAGGGCAAAGATTAGCAGCTAAGGAAACCTGAAGCATTTCTGCTGGGGTCAAGTTATACTGTTGTACTGTTATAACACGGTTATACTGTTACTTGAAAGAAAAGCTAAGGAGTCTTCTCAAGCTTTGCAATTCAGAGCCAAAAGAACCCTTCAGCCAACATTGTAAATACGTACCCCTATCTAAAAGGATGAATCAAATCCTAAGTTAGACAAATAGCAGAATCAACAGTATTATCAGTGTCTAATTTGCAGATTTGTGCACTCTATTTTTTTAAAGTTAATCTACTTATTGTTTGATCCGTTTTAATATTCTAAATATTAACACTTAGTAAGACTTCAGAAAAGTATCCTGTAGCATAATTTGTTTGTGCTTCCTTTCTAGATGTGTGTCAGCACTACTGTGTGAATTCAGAATCCTGTGCCATTGGCAGTGATGGAAGTGTTGAATGTGTCTGTCCAACACGCTATGAAGGACCAAAATGCGAGGTTGACAAATGTATACGGTGCCATGGGGGACACTGTATTATAAATAAAGATGATGAAGATATTTTTTGCAAGTAAGTAGACATCTAGCTTGATTTATAAAAGCATTTCTACCTAAAAAGGCATGGCAGTCAGAAATAAACTCTGAAATCAATATAATTTTTATTATAAAATTCTATATGGCCAGCA